GATAATGATACTTTTTGCTTTGTTTACAATTCCCTTCTTAATAATTCCTAACATTTTATTATACTTTTTGATGGCGGCTGAGCATTGAACTGATGTTTTTAGCCAACAGTCCACAATGACTCCCAAATCTATTCCTGTGTGGTAACAGCTAAAGTAGAGCCAATTATACTGTAGGTATAACTTGGGTTATTTTTGCCCAGGTCTATCCCTTTACATTTATCTTCACTGAATTTCATCTGCCATTCCCTCAGTAGTGCCAGATCATTCTGCAGTTCCTCAGTCTGCACTGGTCTTTACCACTGAATAATTTTGTCATCTACAAATTTGGTCACTTTCCAACTCATCTCCTTTTCCAGATCATTTATGAATAAGTTAACAGTACTGGTCCCAACACCTTGCTGCTTACATCTTGAAAACTGACCACTTACATTCAGTCTTTGTTTTTTTATCTTTAAACCACTTTCTAATCCATGATGGGATGTTCCCTGTAATCCCAGGACTACGTAACTTAATTAAGAGCCTCCGATGGGGGATTCTGTCATAACCTTTTTGAAGTCCAGATACTTTGTGTCAACTGGATCACCCTAATCCACCTGCCTATTAACACCATTAAAGAACTCTACTATGTTGGCAAGGCATGATTTCTCTTTGACTAAACCACATTGATTCCTCCCTGGCAAGTCATGTTCATTCATGAGCTGAACAATGCTTTTAATTTTTATTACTGTTCCTACCAGTTTTCCAGGAACAGGTGAAAGAGAGTATTTCCTGTACCTTGGAAGCCATCTCACACAGAAGGCTGATGTTAACAAAGAAATCCAACATTGCCTTAAACATGCAAGTGCAGCCTTCGAATGCTCAAGGAAATGGGTGTTCGAAGATCATGACATCAGCTCCGAAACCAAGCTTAGGGTTTATCAAGCAGTTGTGATCCCACCTAACTGTATGGAGTGGAGATGTGGACAGCATACAGGAAACACCTCAAGTCAAATGGAGCAGTACCATCAACGCTGACTGTGGAAGATCCTACAAATCCCATGGGAAGACAGACGCACCCATATTAGCATCCTCTCACAAGCAAACACCACGAGAATCAAGGCAATGATCATCCAACATCAACTTTCCTGGGCCAGCCACATCATCGAGATGTCCAACTCCAGACTCCTAAAGCAAATTTTACTCTCCCAGCTCAGTCGAGGCATATGCTAAAGAGGAAGGCAGAGACTACTTCAAGGACATCCTCAAGGCCAACCTGAACAAATTCAACATTATTTGCATTTGCAACAACACCGCCCCAAATGGAGGAAGAGTCTGCTGCAAGGAAATCAGTACTTTGAAACCTTCTGACAACAACAGGAGATGGAAACAGGGGGTGGAAGAAACCAGCATTTCATGGACTGAATCAAGAATCTGGAGCCACCCATCCCACATGGAAACACATGACCCAGTTGTAATAATCCATTGATCCCAGATCAGCCATCTTCAAACCCCCAGCTAAGGCAATCATGGAAGACAATCATCCCTGACTATGAGGGATTACTGAAGAGAGTTCCCTGAGTCCCCTCTAAAGCCCTTTCTAAATTTTGGAACTATGCTGGTAACCCTCCAATCCTCTGATACCGAGGCTGGTTTTAATGACAAAAACTGCAGTACATACTATCATTAGGAGTTAGGCAGTTTCCAATCTGAGCGCCTTCAGGATCCTAGAGTGAATGCCATTAGGTCCTGCTGATTTGCTGCTGTTTAATTATCAATTTCCTCTATGACCTCATCTATTGAAACCTCAGTTTAGGTCAGCTCCACCGACTTGTCCCTAGAAAGGAGTGGATCTGATGAGGGAATCTCCCTAATATCCTTCAGAGAAGACAGATGCAAATAATGCATTTAATTTCTTAGCAATGACCCTGTCATCCTTTCATCCTTTAGTACTTCTTGTATACCCTGATTATCCAAAGGTCCAACTGACTCCTTGCAGGTCTTAGGCTCCTAAGGTACTTAAAAAGTAACAATAAAAAATCTTTATGTCTCTAGCAAGTTCCTCCTCAAATTCTTTCTTAGCTTGTCTTATTGCAGTTTTACATTTGATTTGCCAGAGTTTGTGCTCTTTTTTATTTTTCTCATTAGGATGTGACTTCCAACTTTTGAAAGAAGCCTTTCTTCTATTTATTGCCTTTGCCACTCTGCCATTACACCATGCTGGTTTTCTTTTGGTCCCTCAATAACCCATCTCTGTAAGAATTTAGTGAGTGATTACATTGCAAAACACTTTGTTGTCCACATTGTGTTTATTTTTGAAGTATGAAGTTGTGCCTATAGTTCCAGGCTGATGTCTAACAGGAGAACATCACATTTCTTGTAAGTTGAGAAAAGTTAAAATAAAGAATTCACCAGTGGTCAAATGTCCTTTTCCCTCTCTATTCACAAAACAGCCCTAATCCAGAAAAAAAGCTTCTTAAAGTATACTTTATAATTCTATACAAACAACTTGCCATTTCAAATTTCTACCCAAATCATGAAAGACAGCCATATAGTTTCCCCCCTAAACTAAATATTGCTGATTTTGTTTTGTGTTGAGCTGTGTGACTATGTCAAATTCCTCCTAATGAGGAGGATGTGTTTGCAATTTCACTTCAAGATATTTCAATAAGATTCTCATCTTTTCCTTAATATGTTCATTTGAGATAGACTTTGCTATAAAACACATTCAGATGCTGCTGATTTAGCTATGGTCTCCTGCTGGGTTTTCTATTGCCTTAACACACACTTATCATTAATGTAAAACCCACCAACTCTGATTCTCACTTCAGACTGAATGTGTGATTGAAAAAGCTGGTGATGGAATTACTTCTCTTAGGGAGGCAGAGGAGAAGCTATTTGGGGAGGGACACCCTAAAGAAAACAAAGCAGAAGAAACAGAAAGAGGGGACAAGGAGGTTGATATTCTTCCTTCTCCCCCAAAGCTATTCTTCAACAGAATATCCCACTCATTATTTACATCCTCTTCAAAGTAGCATATTAAATCTTTCTCTCATGAAATCATCTCAGATTCCCAGCAGCCAGGACAATATATAGGCATATAATAAGCACAGAAGAAGAGTATGAGTTTGGACTTTAATCTTGAATCCTTTTTCTAGGGTCAGGTGGCATTTAAGCTACTCCTAGGGTACATCCACACAAGACAACTTATTGCACATTAGAGTAACCTACATGTGCACAGTAATTACTGCACAGTAAATTAGTCTAACATGCTGTTTTCTAGTACCTGTAGAAAACAGGTATTAGAAATTGGCACATTAAACCAATCCACCGAAGTGCACATGTAGACACTGACAGGGAGCAAATTGCTCCTGGTCAGCCTAGGCAGTAGCCAGGGACCACAGCAGGCAAGAACAGCTGCTCTGGCTTGGTGGGACGCAGCCTCCCAGCCCCATGAAGATCAGAAACTGTCCCAATCTCCGCAGGTTGGGAAAGCTGTTGCCTGGCAGCTGGGACAGCTCTTCTAGCCATATGGAGATTGGGACCCATCCCTATCTCCACAGGGCTAGGAGGCAGCAGCCTGGCAGTCGGGACAGCATTCCCTCATCCTGTGCCCCCTGCCAGCCTGGAGCTGGCACCTGGGGGACCCTGGAGCTCCCCCTGGCAGGAGCAGCCCTAAACTGAACTGCTCCCATTGGGAGCAAGTTTATTTCCAACAGGTACACATTCAGACATGTGTAGGGGCCCAGTTTAATGTGCCTGAATTTTCTGTGCAGGAAATTCAGGTGCATTAAAGGCACATGTAGACATGCTCCTAGTGGCCCAAATTAAAATTTTCTGTTAATGTACAGTAAGAGAACCATTTTGCTCAACAGCCTTCTTGCTTATGAAGTTGGACGACTAGGTTCTAGGTCCAATTCATCCAAAGTATATTTGAATACACTTCTCTCACTTCCCAGAAAAGTGTCCTAACTACCAGGCAATGGGCCAGGGAAGACTGAGGATGTCCTCTAACCCTCCTGTTGAAGCTTCCCCACTGGGAAGCCCCGAGTGTAATATTTGTGGGGCCAGAAGAAGAACAAGGAAGAAAGAACCAAATTCTGTAGTACAATGGACAAGTAATAATTTGGGAGGCAGTCTGTCCTGGACTCTGGCCCCTAGGACTACATATGATAGTGATTCTTAACCAGGGTGTCATGAGATCTTTTTAAGGGTGCAATCTTAGCACTGTTAGGTATGTGGATAACTACACACGATTCACAAGATAAACCCAGAGACTTCAAACAGAAATCCACATGTCAAAACGTTCTGACTTTGTGTGCTCTTTCTGAGTTCCTTGCAACACAAGAATTGTTCTATTGTTTCTGTTAGTCAAAAAATGCTGTGCTGGCCATTTCCTCTGCCACCTCCCCACTGATGTGCATGGAGTCTAATGAGTGGGGTCTTAAGTCTAAAAAGGTTGGGAACCCCTGACTTATGCATTTAATAATGACTGCATAAAATGCATAAACAGCACTGGTTCTTTCAGTTCCCTATGCATGTTTCCTAAACACTATGTTATTTGGCAACAAGTGAGTGGGGATTACTCCCCACTTATGCGATGATTAAACTTTAGGTGCCTTGTATGTAATAGACTTTGCCTTTGTAATAGTGTGATTTGCATGTTGCTTTAGTTACACTAATTCATTTTCAGACAACTGAAAAAGCTGTATAGTCATAATTACCATAAGCTAGTAGTAAATTTGTAATTGAAGAATTTAAATAGCATTTACAAATTATGCTAAAACTGATCCAGAGGGACTCCATTTCCATCTAAAAATAACTAAATAAAAAAGTCCATAAAACTAGATAACTTAAATTATGGAAAACCTTTTAAAGCTTGTTTTGGCTGGATTCTTCAATCCACGAAGTACCATTGGCACACCTGAATGGATTGCACTATTCATCCCTGCTGCTCAGATCTAGAGGATAGGTGCAAGTCTGTCATAGCTCCCAGCTACAAAACTCAATAACTCAGCTCAGACTGAAGAGTTTAATACTTTTAATTCTTGAAAGTCCTAGGAACAAACAAGATAGCATTCGTTACAGGTTTACACTGAGGCTCTCATTCTGCCAAATGCCACACGTTAGCAGGTGACAGGGCCAAATAAAACCCTATTAAAGCTGCTGGGGCAGGCACAGGTGTCTTCTTATATAGGGCAGCTGTTAGAGTCAAAGCCCAAGATTGCAAAGGGCCAATAAGATGTAGGAGGAATACAGATTAGGAAGATATGGGCCTGTGTTCATTTTCAAGGCTTAAAGTTAAAATCTGGGAATCCATTTGAAAGACTAGAATACATACTGAAGTCAAGTTGCTTTCCATCTGGTTTCCAGCAGCCATATATAAGAGAATTCAGTCTTTCATATGGCAAGCTGGGTTCTCTCAGGGGTCCATGTCTAGTTTAAAATAAAACAGTTGTGATAGATGTTCACAAAGAAAAGGAAAACTACATACAAAAACATGAAAATAGGCTTCTGAGACCTAAATGGATAAATACCACATGAATTTAAAAGCAAAGTAGCAACAATCAAGAAAAGAAGTATAGGTTTACATGTAATTTTTATTTATTTGATATTCCCATTTGTTTAAAAATCAGTCTGTACCTGTCGTGAGTTAAATTGCACTAGTATGTTAGGTGAAATCCAACGATTTTTGCCTTGCAGGTAAAATGCCTGCAGATTAGTAAGTGTCTCTCTCAATGTCAAAGCTTCCCTTAATTGCTGTTCTCTTCACACAGCAGCTGGTTTAAAATGCTACTCTGTTTCAGAGCCTTCAGGCTAGAAATATCTTCACTAATGACAGGGATTTCTTCTTTTTGGTTCTCAGCTGTCAGTTCATCTTCACTGTCTGACAATGCACACAGAAGTGTGTCATTTTCATAGGTAGGAAAATAATACCTGAAAGCAAGAATATTTAAGAAGATAATATTAATAGAGTCATGTGCTTTGTTGCTCAGATAGCTCACACACAGAGCTCAGACAAACTTGTCTTAGAATGAATAGAGGCCTGGCTGGGCCACGGGAAGAACTAGCCTTAGTTGGTGGGAGGGAGCCCAGCTGTTAAGTAAGTGTTTGACCCTCTAGTAAACCGTTGCCTGTGGCGTACAGGAACTAGCAGAGAGTGTGGGAGAATGTTGTTTGCTTGAGGTATCGAATGAACACTCTGGAAGCTTGGGTTTTAGTGGAATTCTGGCTTTTATTTTTGGGAGGTGGTTTTCTGATTTTTGCAGGGAATCGTTAGTATTCTGCCCACCGATTCCTTGCGCGTTCCATGAAAGTTTAGAATTGATCAGATGCAGCATTCCAAAAGTTACTTTGTTGCTGACCATCAGGAATGCCAACGATGTGAATGTATGGCTTCAGCTCACTTGGCCAAAAGTGTGACCAACTGTGAATGATCGCTGTGATTTGATTCAGTCTGATTCTACATAATAATAATAGGATTTGGGGGTTGTGTGTATAATATACACACATATTATGTAGACCCCCCGCATCCCTAAATACCTAAATACTGCACGATTCTTTCAGGATTTTTACTGTTCCCTCAGGGTAAGACTAGCCCTCATAACGAAGATTTCTACAAGATGTGCCACATTTACCCGAAGAAGTCTTCAGAGAAGATTACGTTAGCTGCTTTAACAGCGTATTTCCTTGTGTTATGATTTTAAAGGTGTTTACACCCTCACCTCTTTTTCAGCCCTCACCTGAAATTACTTAAGATTTTTTTCTCATGTTCATATCCCACCTCATGGCTGAAGGTACAGGCTGTGGTTACTGTTTGCTGCTGTCTGTGAAAAACAGCACTGTAGATTTCTCTCCTGTTTGCTTTTAACTGTTCCTCACCACAATCAGAGCCAGAGTGAGAAGGCCAAGAGAGATGGGAACTACCTTTGTAAAACAGCACCAAAGTAATAGTCCAGAACACTACAGTGCACAATTGAGCCCTTGTGCAATTAAGGGTTGTTTTTTTTAAAGCAGGCTTCTGGGTGGCTGAACCTACTGGATGCCTGGGATGGGAGTTACAAGCATGAAGTGGAACAGAGTGTTGGAAAAGTCAAGCTGTTAGTACATCTTATAAAAGCTGTATAGAGAATAGAGGAAGTGCTTCAGTGTCAGGAGCCATTCCTTCTCCTTGCATCTAGGATCTGTGGAACATCACAAACCATAGCGTTGCGGTGTCTGGGAGAGCACTCTCTCCAACCTTTCTGATTACAGACACTGTGGGGAATTGTATGAGCTTCAGGATCATACATCTACCATCACCTGGGTCTAAAGGAATGTCAGGTAGTTTTGGGTACTCTGTCATTAGCACAGAATGGAACATCAGATTATACTGCCAGGGGGTGCACCTACATGAGTACTGTCCAACTTCGTGGGACACAGCAGTGAAAATACACTGCACCTGGTCAGCCCAGGCAGCAGGGACCCAGACCTCTGCCTGCTGCCTAGCCACAGGACTGCACACTGGGACATTCTCGTATTCCAGGCAGCCCCAGCGCTGCCCTCTTGGAGTTTGGGCTGAACCCCTGGACCCGTCAGCCTGCGGCTGCTCCGTCATGACTCAAACTGCTGTGGTCCTGGGCATAGCATCTGCCTATGCCATTAAGGCATCATTATAAATGCCAGTGCAGTTTGCTCCCGAGGTTAGCACTGTGCCGTAATGGTACATATAGATGCCCCCAGGGGATGTTCCCTGCCAGACTGGGGCAGGCGAACCTCCCAGCCACTAGCGCTGCCAGCATCCCCAGCTGAGCCCAGCTTCTTATGCAGCCTGGCTGGAGCAGGGTAAGAGTGACCCTGAAGACTCACACCTGCTTTGGAACTATACAAAAAGTCCCCACCTACTGCTCTCACAGTGTAGTCGACTCACCCAGTGTGGGAACAGAGGGAGGTGGGAGTGGGCTGTAGCCACCCCTGCAGTCACATCACTGCACATGCACCCCCACCTTTACAAAACCCCGGATCTGCCCATGTATACTGATATGATGACAAATTACCCCATGATGACAAATGCAGGAAGAAAAAACAAGTCAGCACTTACTGTGGTTGATCCCACGTAGATGTGGCTGGCAGGAATGTAATGTGTTTGGTCTCTTCCATATGGCTTATTAATTCAATCTTAGATTGAAATTTCTCCTGGCAGCTGTAGCAGCGACTCTGGTGGATTTGCCTTCTGATGAAGTTCACCAGCTTCACTTGCTGATAAAACTTTAAACCTGGCGAATAGCAGAAACCAACCACTTCAGAAAAAACAAACACCAACAAAGTGCTTCTAAATAAAGAAGTGGGTCAAGGCTGCTAACCTTCCCCTGAAGATATATATGGTCTAGGCATTGTAATTCTGCATATCTCTCTCAGTATTTCTTCTTCCAGCTGAAGAGAATTTGGCCACTGATACATCTTAATAGTGATGGATGATTTGTTTCCCTTCACAGCATATTGGAAAACAAACAATAGCCAAATGTGGCCCAGGACACAGTCTGCATCATGCTCCCATGTTACCTCCAAGGTGAAAGGAGCTCTGAATTGCTTTTTTCTTTTTTTGAAATAATGACCATGGGATGATTGGGTCAAGGCATGTGCTCTCAAAACAAGAGATTTGCAGAAACTGTTCCATGAAAGAACCCAACATTTCAAAAGAGAATATTGAATATCTTAGGCTGGAGCAATGTTCCAAAAAAAGGAGCAAACAAAAAGGGCTTGGCTGTCCTTTGTCAGCTGGCAGAGGTAGTGTTTCCATAATGAAGTTAAAAATATCTGAAAAAGATTAAATTTGACCTGTTTTCCAGTATCCTTAAAATGTAGTTTTCCCCAAACTAAGGCAGATTCTGACAATTACAGCAACTCTTACTTACCATTCTCTGATTTTATTTTAAGAAGGTCAAATCCATGTGCTTCCTGACAAAAAGAAAAAGGCTTATTATTTCTAGTATTCCAGACTAAAAGCAGCTCAACTTTTTACAGATATAATAAAATCCAGTACTTTTGAGTTTACCAAGTCTTTTGTATGTGGTGATTTTAAATATCATTCTTTGTTTAGAATCCAGGTTTCAGTTTAAAAGTGCTTTGCTATTCAAAGCATTAAGTCAGCAAGTTAGTGTAGTTAATACAATTTTATTGCAGCCTCTCTCTCTTTGCTATGTATACAATCTGCACACTTGCCAACAACAATTAGTCACACCCTTGCTATAAAATGTGGCTCCCCTGAATTTTCTGTGGAGCATCCACTGGAAATGCAGTGTCTCTGTTCTGTACTAAAGAGGGCATTCTAGTGCAACAGAAGATCTGATCTCAAAGTTGCTACAATCCTGCGCTATTAAGTGTCACTTCACCTAAATAAAGCAAATACTATTTAAACATGTCGTACTTGCATGTGGAGATGTAATTTTTCTGTGGTGTCCACTTGCTGTTCACAAAATAGACAAACAGCATGCACGGGATGCTCTTCCCAGTCAGACCAGTCTCTGGGATTAATGAAACAAAGGGCACAAATTGCTGAAGGGAAAGGCTTGAAGAGATTCTTTGTGAAAGCTAAACTGATAGTGTAAAAGAGTAAGCTTAGTTTTACACTCACTCGGCACATCTATACGTGAAATTAATGCAAATGAATAAACTCTGGAGCATATCACAACAGAACTTATTGCCTCTGTGCACCGTGTCTTCATACGTGCCCAGGACTGCAACACACTTAACTGGGCTGAAGCAGCCCCAGCTGGCAGGGGACCAGGGGGGTCAGCCTACCAGCCCGGGCCTGTTTCAACCTGGCTCAATATGCTGCAGAGGGGCTGGCTGAGGCACAATGGTGCTCTTATGTGGGGCTAGCTGGCAGGCAGCCTCTGCACTGAAGCACCCTCGTACCCCAGGCAGTCCCATCAATGTCTACATGTGCACTGCTGCACAGTAAAGAACACTACCACAGGACACTACTTGTATTTACAGGTATTAACTTACGGTGGAGTTAATTAATTTCCTGCGGCCTAATAAGGCGGCGCGTATACATGCTTACTGCGGAGCTAATTAGGCAGCTCTGCAGTAAATGCCTTGTGTAGATGTGCACACTTACACCGATATAAATCTGGAGAAACTTATTTGGGTTCAGACTGCAATCCTGCAATTGGGATTTATGATAGGGTAACCAAGTAAAAACATGTGGCTTCTTGTCAGAATAATAGCCTTTACATCACTGCATTTAAGCCCAGAACAGCTTAATGGCTATTCCTGAGTAATGCTATGGGTAGACAATAGAGCTGTGCGAAATGTTGGCAGCTGTTTTATTTCAGAGATGTTTCAGGCTGTTTTGGTACCCGAAACACCAAATCCAAAATGAAATGAGGCATCTGAAACGTTTCGGAAATATTTCGGAAAATTTTGGAGTTTGGGGCTGGGCTTGCAGGGAAACAGCTGTATGCTGCTGCCCTGCTGTGCAACTCAGCTCCTCAGGAAACAGAGATCTGCGCTGGTGGTCTTTTTGCTGCTGCTGCCTGCTCCGCACTGCCCCAGTGACTTAGGGAGGAAACAGATTTGGCCGAAACAAAACAGGACAGTAATCCGAAATGAATCACTGTCCTCCAAAACAGCTGAATCTGAAACTGAACTGAAACACAGCCGTTCGCACAGCCCTACTAGACAAGCCCTAACTCCCACTTAGCCAGGGCACCTAACAGAGCAGTGAACAGTACTGTGTTTACTTGAATCCAAGACAAGGTCCCCCTCCCCCATTTAACATGGAGATAAAAAGCCCCTATCTCAGGTTTGAGTAAAATGCAGAAGCGGGGATTGCCCTGACCTAGGTTTGGGGTTGAAGCTGCAACCACTGCTCAACCTCCCCCACCACCATTCCCACCTCCTGCTGCTCTGGCTCCAGCTTTGGCAGGACTCTGGTCACACTACAGCCCACAGCATGGAGCACAAAGTTGCTCCAGCCTGAGTCCAGCCTGGTTGGGGCAGTGGCAATGCAGTTTTAGCACAGGCTCCAGCTCTGGAGCCCAGCTGGAGCTGCTACCACTCCAACAACTGCTCCATGGCCAGGCTGGGGCTGGAGCACCCATGTGCTGTTCTTTTGGCTGGAATGGAGTCAGAGCCCTACTGAAGCTGGAGGGAAATGGCAGTGGGGGGGCTGACTAGAGGCTGTGAGGGGACAGAGGTGGCAAGCAGCAAGAGAGGCCAGGCACTGAAGAGGGGGCAGGTGCTTATATGTGCAGGCACTGGAAAGGCAGGCAGAAGGATAGGCAAGGGACAGGCTGCTAGATTCCACCACCACCTGCCCCCTCCATGCATCATAGCACCTGTTGCCTCTGCCACTGCTTTCCCTGCTGTAGCAGTGTAGGGAACAAATGTAAGACAACTCTCCAATAATTAGATTCTATACATGGGAAATGATAACAAATTTAACATTTTTCCATGCACAGAACTCATAATTGGAGGGTTATCTTAAATTCAGAGTCATCCTGGATTCAGATGATAGGGCACTACAGGCAGTCGGTTACAGAAAAAGCCTTGAATAATTGTCAGAAGTCATCTTGCCCAGCTTTGTGCTTAGCTGCAAGAGAATGCTTCTTATCCATTAATTATTTCCAGTCTTACTTCTCTAGGACTAAGCATGCCACCTCCATTGTGACCTTGGCCCCCCATAGTCTTGAAGTAGAGGTGCTAGAAGGGAAATGTAACAATCCCATTTGGTCTGATGCTCACAGAGGGAGCAACAATAATCATTTCCAATCCAAACCCAAAGTTCTGCTGCTCAGAATTTTATGATGTTTTAATTTTTTCAGGATGACATGTTTCATGCCTGGACTGTGTCTGATAGTTTAAATTGCAGCAAAACCAAATTTAATCCAGTTTGAATACAAAGGGAAAATATACTCTGCCCTCATTATGGCAACTTTAATAATGAAGAGTTTTGCAGTTGATAACAGCTTGGGGATTGAAAGATGAAATTTTGCTTACAAGTAGCCTACACGGAGAAGTGTCTTTGATGAGACTTGTCCTGATGAAAACTGAACTTGATTTGATTAAATTACGCATCTCTTAAGAGTCTCTACTGAGCATGTACAGTAGATCCCCCCCATCCTCCCACATCTAACTCCTGACATGCATGTAGCACCTATATAACTCTTACTCTTCTGGGTTATCTAGCAAGTCTCGATCATCCTCTGATTGAACTTCTTCCCAGGATTTCCCAAATTCCTGAAAAAGCAAAAAAAAAAAAAAAACAGAAGTAATTTTTCAACATGTGACAGTTGGGAAAAAACAGACCCCCCCCATTTAGATACAAGGCAACCTAAGCCAAAAATCAACTGCTTAGTTTGCATTTACTTTGTGATGTTTGTATATCTACGCAATCCATACAGCTTTGCTTTAATAATTCTTATTATCAACAGTTTTATTCACCTGCAATCAGGTATGCCACTCATTTTGCCTGGCAAAAGCAGCAGCGTGAAATCGGATGCATGCCTCTCAAAAGTGACATGCAGTTGACGAGAGTATTTCAACAGTAGAGCTGTACCAAGATATGGTGCTAGCAAAGTGCTGCTCATGTAGCTGCAGCTTCTACTGGCAAAACTGCACGTCTGCCAGGATAGATCATTCCAGTTTGCAGATTCTGTCTCTCTGAGCAAAATGAGCTTTCCTGGCAGCAAAAGCATAGTTTAGCCAGCATGACTGTGCACGTGCTAGGAGCTTTTGCCAGCAAAGCTGTCAGTCAGGGATTGTATCTCCTCCCATTCGTAAATGACATACTTAATTAAATGTGAAGTGTAGATTTGACTGCAGAGTATTAAAAGAAGGCAGTATGACTCAGGAGAAAATTTGTAGTCCAGTAACCAAAAGCTTGTTGCCAGTTCTGCCACTGATGTATTTACCGGACTCCCTAGATTCCAAAACAATGCGTGTTCACCCTCCTCCCCCCAGTTCAATTTGGGGGGCAGGGGGAGGCTGATCTTAGAATTGAGTATCAGACAAAGCAGAACAGCGCCATCTGGTGTCTGAGCTTCTGTAGCCCTCTCCTTCCTCCTCACTCAGCCACAAACTACTACTTAATGTCTTGGCCATTACCTGCCTAGCAGCTGCTCACCTTACAAGTAGGCAAGGATGGCAATGGGTCAGTGTGGCCGGGATGGATCTGCAGGGCTGGGATGGGAGTGAGGCGGTGGATAAGGGCCTGTGATGGGATTGGAGGGGAAGGGCTAACAGGCTGGGGATGGGGGCAGGTATGGTTGCAGGGGTCAAAGTATGCGGCATAAGTAGGGGTTTCCTGGGGTAGGGACAGCACCAGGACATCGGGAGGACAAAGCAGGGAGCAGGAGCACCTGGAAGGGCGGACCTAACCACAGCAGCTGTCCCCAGCTAAGCCCAAAATCATGCTCTGTCACTCAGGGAAGCCCAGCACACTCAAATGCCCTCCTCCCCTGTGGCAAGAGTCTTCTAACAGGCTCTCCTGTGCTATCAGGGTATGCCTCGGCCTTCACGTGCTCTACTAACAGCAGTAATGGCAATGGCTAGGAACATTTCCTTAAGCATTGACTGCGTTGTCTTTTCACACAGCAAAAAGTCATGCTCCACTGCCTTCCACGGAATTTGTCCCCTGCATGGGAGGTAGTCCTCTGGCCCTGCAAACCCTCCTGGACCAGTTTAACACCCTGAGCTGAAACTCATATGCACACATACATTTTTTTTTGGAAGATCTGGGTAAAATCTGCTGAATTATTTTTTCCTGTCCTGCATGTTTTTGTAAAGCCTGGCAAAATAAGGCTCCAATAGACATGTGGGGAGCCTGCTCTGACATGGTATCGTGCTCCAGCAGCCTTCCGTGTCACGTGCATCAGTGTCCCTACGCTGAAAAAATAGTGGTGGAGGACTCTGAAATAAAACATGCTCAATGAGCTTTAGCTCAGTGCCCCACTACCATTTTTACAGTGCAGGGATGCTGATACACATAACCACTTTTAATTAGCGCAGCTCACTTATTAAAGTGCCTGAAGCTGTGTCCCAGAGCACATGTAAAAGTGCTTATAGGGCCCAGGTTTGGATGGGGTCCACTATAATATCTAATATAGATTCACTTTCCACATGTGGAATCTAATTACATGGGGGGCAGTCATCTTACATCCAAGGTTGTCTTGGATTTGGGTAAATATGGTATGACCTTGACAAAGTCACTTCATGCCACCCCATTCCCTCTAGCCCTTTATGTTATGTGACCTTTAAACTCTGGCAAAGAGTGTGTGTGTGTGCAGGTGGGTGGTCGAGCACAATAAGGCTCTAATCTTGATCGAGGCTTTAGGTGTTACTATAATGTAAATAACAGAGCCAATAATAGACTGAATGCCAGTGCACTAAATACCAGCAGTTTTCTTCTTTGACAGATTCTGCCTGCCTTTAAAAATACACCAGAACAAATATAACCGACTAGTTACATTAGTGGTATGTCTGTACTTATACTTTTGATGGTTGCAGGGCATTCACACACATCCTATTTAACCGTCTTGTCTCTGTCGTTTTCCAAATATCCCTGAGGTGTATGGTAAAATTTTAACAGGATTCGCCATGAATATTCACATTTGAACATTTTCTGTTCCATCTGTTAAAATAGTCACTCACTCTAATAAAGAATTTTATTAACAGGTCCTGGTAACAAGCACTATTATCATCAATGTAGTTTTATGAAAAAAGACTATGGACACATAATTTGCCAATTTAATGAGCATTTTCAAAGTGGTTACAAACTACTGGCTAAATGGTACCCAAACACCTCATCTCTAGATAGCCCTTACTGTACATTGTCATTGCAGATTATGGAATGAAAATTCAGTAATTTATTCAGAGATGCTCTGCTGCAGTGTGTAAACTTTCCAAGTCACATGGAAGACTCATTAATGTCACCATTATTGTGAGATAAGATGAAGCCATTAACACCTCTCACCACATGTTCTCACAGCTGCACACCAGTTTCCTTTGGCTGCAAACCTCATTGCTTGCAATAAAACTATGCAACCCACAACTGCAAAATTAACAGATGTTTTCACATTTTTCCTCCCCTGCCACTAAGACATACATACATAAGTAAACCAAAAAAAATTAAACTTTATCTTCTGCAAAAATGCTCTGCAAAAGGAGAAAACAACTGAGCATGAGTGTCTTTTGTCATGCATATAGAGAAGGCAGAGAGGACATTTCTGAAAAAAGCTTTCTTTTTATCCTGCTGGCTTTTTACAGAAAAAATTCTGAGTTTTTTTCTGCTCTGGAAGATTCCATTTCAAAATCAAGGACTAGTGAAGTTATTTATGACAAGAGACTGAAGCTGAATAGTTAGGAGGGAGTGGATTTTAGGAAAGATTATTAAAAATCTCTAGTTTGTTTATTCATTTAGTTTTGTTTTCATTAATACCTATTTAACTGTAAAGCCTTATGACCATCTAGGACAAAGAACTTCTTTGTCAAGCATTTAGCATCCCTGCTTTTTCATCTCAGATGCAAGAGCTCACTACAAACCTCTCGAGACCCCCTGAGAAAGTCTTAGCACAGAGAAAACAGGACTCGTTCCAGTTCAAGAAGTGGAAAATACATATTTAAAAAACATTCAAGCCTTTATACACATATACACAAGCACACACACACACAAACTAAACAGAGTGATTTGTGAAACCTCTTTTGTAGTTCACATTACAGCAAGGCTGCATATAAAAATGGAAAGCAAGTGCAAAGATGGCTGCATTTTTCCCATTCAAAATACAGCTTATATCCACAAAGCCAGATTTTCCTGCTACTGTCTCTCTCCCTAGCCGGCATGCCCACCATTTCAAGGGTTTCGTAGACAGCAAAATGTGTGATGATGGGCGGATGACCCTAGGTAAAGGGCCTGAACTACTAAGTTAGCACTTTCCCCAGACGAACAGGTGTTCAGCTGTGAGGAAATGGGAGTTACACTCCTATGCATCGCAACTATTAAATAGCAGCTGCCTTCCCCTGCAAGTACACCTTATCTTCCCCAAAACTTAAGGTACCTGCCCCACTTTTTACTCTACATTTGACCCAAACATTTTTAAGGGTGACAAGGGCCTAAACTTTGGGGGTTGGGGCACTGAGGAAAAATAGTTTTAAAAATTAAGACGATTAAATACTTTTCGTGCGGTGTTATCATGTTGCCTGTGTTTAACCATCCAGTTGTCTCTCTGTTTATGGCGTAAGCTCTTTGAAGCAAGAGTTATATTTCCTTGTGTGCTTGTAAAAGTACTTATGCAAAGGATCCCCAGTTCTAAATGCAGCCTGAGACTTCAGCTTTGGAGGCATTTTCAAAAAATGTCTAAATGGCTCAGGGGCACAAGTCCCGTTGGCTTTCAATGGGATCAGTGCATACAGCTCACCTTGTTGACTTGGAAAATCCCACCTTAATTCAGTATAACTACTAAATATCTAATAACCTTGTGGTTGGGGCTTAGGGATGAAGTTAGATGGACAGTAAAATGTCAAGAAAAGTTCCTCTCTCTTTACAACCAAAGATTACATCTACTACTATACAGGTACTGAAGAGCACCAGAGCATATGACCAATAATTGAGGCAACAGATCAAAAGCCACTTTTAAGTCATGAAAAAAAAAACCCACCCAAAAAGCCTTGGTAAATCAGAAGACAAACTATTTACATGTGACTTCACATTTACATTATTCCAGCTTTGTCAAGAAGGCTAATTAGGGCAGACAATGACCAACATAGAAGAGATCAGATCAAAAAAGAGAGAGGAAACAACTTCCTGGTTAAGAAAGGAGATCTTCATAATTAATTACACTATAAATGCTAATGAAGCCAAAAGCATAAATGGGAAAAACAAAGGCTAGGCTCCTGCTTGAAATGAAGTCAATGGGAGTTTTGCCACTGACTTCAATGGGAAAAGGAACAGGCCCCAAGGTTGGGAGGCAGTTCAATGAAAGCTCTCAGTACATGTGAACAAAAAGACCTTTAAAACACACAAACACACCAAGAAAAACCTCCAGTTCCAGCTACAAAGCTGACTACAAAGAACATTTACAGAGCGTTCAGTGAAAATAATATGCAAGGCAAACTTATTGGAAAAAGTAGGGCCACAAAAACAAGTTTGCTTTAAAAAGGAGTACCATTTTTTAAAATTACGATAACCTACCAACAAGTTTTCATGTAAACAGGTCAAGACCCAGCTCCCATTTCTAGAGGTTTATTGTATTCATTTTAAAAGGACTAAGGATTAAAAATAGATTATATCACTAGAAACCCATTTATTTATTTATTTTAACTATAACAATAAGCTTGACAGATCTGACAGAAAGATCTAAAAACTCATTTGTCTGTGAAACAGATGCCACAGTAATCAAAAGCTACTAATCTTTATAAATCAAGTCATGTTCTGTAATGAGTGATTGAAACACTGGATATCACTCATTTCAAAAAGGTAAAAAAAACCCCAAAACACATATTCTGCTATCCAGTGAAACTGATCTTGCTCAAAGGCATAACTTTCCATTTTGGCACCTAGTAGAGGGGGCAGAGGGAACTCTTACATCCTGGTGCAGACTGTGGCGGCAGCAGCATGGGCTGCTGCTCCTTGGTGTAAGACCCGCCCCCAACAAAAACTGCAGTGGTGGTGCAGGTTCCTTGGGGCTGCCATTGTGCCCCCTTTTCTCCTCCCCCAAAATCACAGTATTGGTCTTACTCCTGGGTATTTCAAGTCAGAGCAGAAAGGACGGAGTGTTCTTCGAGGATGAAAAACAGGAAAGCTGCGGGCACTTGTATTTAAATAAATAAATAATTCCTCTAGAAAAACTGCGAAAAGTGGGGAAAGCAAGCTAGAAAAGCTGCCTTTGGGCAGCTTCAGCTTCTGGTGCTGAATCTGGATTCAGCTCAAAAATAACTTCATCGTATTAACATAATCACTATGGTCAAAATGTGCACAGTAGGAACTAACATTATTTGTCTTCATAAATATGGGGTAATCCATTGAAACTCCATTGAACAAATTACACTTTGTATTCTCCTTAATCTTATTCCCTCCTCTGCAAAAAAAATGAATAAAGAGCCCACCAAAGGTCATTTAGAGTGCAAACACACTCCACAGTGTCCAAGACACTCTAAAAACCAATGTGGTTGGTATTAATGAAAACATTTAGACCATATAAAATTAGCATGCAGTCTGTTTGCATTACATATTTTACAGTAGATTAGTTTATAAATCAGGAAAGATTTTTCAAAGAGTTTTGGTACTATTTGGTTTTCTTCCTACCGACAAAGCTAAGCTGCCTCACTAGCAGCACTTCAAGTGTACAAGACAGAGGGAAGAGGCATATTCTAGAACCTCCTAAAGAGAAATCTAAAATAGTTTTTTTCCTCTATGCACAATAAGGCCAAGTATTTGAGACTGGGAATCACATGTTATATACGAGTCATCAGATAATGCACCTGCTATTCCCCTAGGCTGATTATTATCTGCTTGTACCTGATACAAGTAAAACTTCTAGGGTAAATGCTAGAAAAATGTGACCGATTTCTGAAGTGCATCAATTTAAAAACATGGAGTATGCTTAAAATCACCTTAGAAATTGAAGGATTGTAAATTGTGGGCAGGGATAAATAAAACTGCTGTTAAAATATGGCTATGGGATGGTGACACATACTAACAAATGGCAAGCAGAGTTATGGTAATTTAAAACAAGCCTCAATTAACTGAATAATACATCCCTGTGGTCACTGCATGGGACGTTACAGGAAAAGTTCCTTAAAAAGTTTTAGAGAGGCATAACATCTTTATTCAGACTATTTTTAGTATTCCTCTACCTAAAAGGTAGATTCTGAAAGGCACGCTTTCATGACAGCTTGAGTAATCAGCACCTGGTTAGCCACGTGTGATAGCCACGCGAGATCTGCTACGCTTCAAAGCAAGACCTACGCATGTGATTGTGTTTCCCATGTGTGTCACCAGGACCTCTGAGGGCACATCCCTTGGTTCTCTATGATGCAGTAAGGTGAGCTGCCCTATGATCCTTTCCCAATGAATTCTGAGAAGAATTGTCTGTCCTTCTGGGGCTACAGAGGAAATTATGGGAAGGCATTGGAGGACTGTCAGTATTACAATGATTTAGCCTGCATCCTCACTGCTAAGTGGATGAGTTACCAGCCCAAATTAGTGGAATCCAGATTTTCTAGTCCACATCCCTACCCAGGCAGATTAGCCGCACTGAGAGTGCCATTTAGCTCTGATGTGAAGCTTTGTATATAGATAAGAAGGGGTGAATAAGAGCCCAGGCTGGTTTTGCCATAAAGACATACCCTTAGTTACAGGGTAGAGGGAGACATATAAAACCTCTAAAGTTACCTGAAACAGCTCCTCAAAACATCACATTCAAGTCTGAAGCACGTAGCAGGCCTAGCAGCAAACACTGGGGATGCCTGCTTTCCAAAAGTAAAGAGATTCTAAATTTCAAGCTCTGAAAACCCCAAATGTCCAAGCAGTGACATTTTCCCATCCAGAGATGGTATCACAGTCCTAGTCTTCACATTATTGATATTTAGATAGGGACAAGCAGTAGAGAGCAGATGGATTTCTGTAACAGGGGAACCCAACCCCTGTTACTTAAACAGATAGAAGGCAGCTTTATATAGCTGCAAGTAGTGGCAAGCAGCTGATTTAGTGTCAACTGCAAAAAGGTAAGCAACCAAAGGGAGACAGTGGGGGCTCCAAAGCTGAAGCAAGCGTATGCAACTGTCCTAGAGCAAGCTGCCATGAAATAGGCTACAGGGCCCAGAGCACTGGGCCCCTAGCTAAGTAGAGGCTGCAGCAGATCTGAGCAGTCTGCTGATGAGCAACATGTAGCCCCTGTGTCCGGTTGAGGGAGTCAGAGAATGTGAGTGGAGCCCAGGGCCATAATAAGTCTGGCTCCAGGGCTGGAGACAGCACCCGGGCCCTGAATGCCAAGGTGGAAGGCGCTCCTCTACGAAGGCCGCAAAACACAGGAATAAGATAGTAAGGCAACCTTTAGGAGTTGTCTGAGACAGCCAGCTGGTAGGGGCAACAGGTTTTGTTTGGGTTGCATGAAGCCCTGGGTGTTAATCTTTTCTTCTGGGAACATGTGATGGTTACTTATGAATGCTGTGAGGCATAGGAGTAGCTAGAAGAGTGCAGGCCACTAAAAGTGCCCAGCAAAAGGTGCTGTACTGATCACTAAGGACTGTGCTGAGAATTGTGTCATGGAGGAGAGGAAATCACCCAGGAGGCTACTCTTCTTTATTGTAATATGTAATATTAAAGGTGGGGCAAGTAGAAAAAAAATGGAGGTTGCATCAAGGCTGGAGTGTGCAGCAGGTAAAACTGATTGCCGGGGGCCACTGGACTCTGGGATCCAAACTCCAAACTTGCAACAATTTTACATTGGGAAGGAGAAGGAAACAGACTTGCCAAAAAATTAGAAAAGAAAGGCAGGTAAAATTCTAGAATGAAGCAGGGGAGAGAACAATGGGGAAGAGAGTAGGCGATGCAGTCGAAGATGCATGAAAAAAAAATTCATAATGTGTATCAACATAAAGAAAACATGTAAAAATTACTCAACTCACAACCAAAATGCTGACACTTCTTGGTTATAATGTGGCAGCTACAGAAACTGCTATTCTACAAAGAAACTGAGATGAGGAGATGCTAAACAACTGGCTGGTGGGCTTGCTAGGTAGATGGATACACAGGAGGTTTAAACTGAATGTAATTATCTAAGTAGAACTGTTAAATCCATCACAGGCAGGCACATCAATGTGGGGACAGAATAGCAAACTTTTTTCCCCCCTATTTTACTTGAAATCCATATAACATCATCTTGGTAGAATATGCTGTCTTTCAAATTATTTGCAATTTACACCTAGTAGAAAACTAATTCAAGCCAGTAAAATCTCACTTAGTGCTTCTTTTATTTCATTACTGTATCTCATTTTCCCTGCCAGTTGTTAAGGTTGAGACTGAACACCTATGATTTTGATTAAAGCATCTTCAAGCTGTATTCCATCAGGTCTCAAAATTGATTCTTAACAACAAATGTTTGTTAGTCCTCAGTTTAATAAATTACCCCCAATATCATGTAAATGAATTTAAGTGTCCTTCACTTGAATTTTGTCCTTTGTGCAAAATGCTAGTTCAGTCTTTGCAAGAAACTGTAGTCTCCCATCAATTTACTAATTATATGCAGAAGCTCTTACCAAGTAATTAATGATATAAAATCTGTCATATTCCCTATTTTTGGCATTGATTTTGCGATGCTGCTTCTTTCTCATGTGATCCTTAAGTGTGTTTTTGTCTCTGAAGGTTCTTTCACAATATAAACACTGCAAGCTAAAATAAAAAGGTAAATAGATTAAAAGGTATGCAAATCAATGCAAAATATTTCAGAGGTATAAACTGTTTATCTGAATGATCAGCAAACAAACAATTCTAAGAGCTTGAAGTATACAAGTATCATATATATTAATATATACGTAAACTGACTATGAAGCAAGAAGCCTAATGCTATTGGGGAGGGGAGGGGAAGACCATATAAGAACAACCACCACCACCAATAAAAACAATGCGTTACAGGTAGTTAAGTCTTCATCACACAAACTACAGAATAAGAAAACATTTTTATGTATCAAAAACTTTTTCTGTTACAAGGTCCATAGATTGAGCTTTCACCAGCCTAAAACAGACAGACAGAATCAGGCTTCTCAGACATGTGCTATAGAAGAAACAGTGAATTTTTACCGCAATACATCATTCAGAAAAAATAATCTGAATGAACTAAACAACAATGTTTATCACACTGGCCCAATGTTCTCAAACGAGGGAAGGCTCTCATCTGTGCACCACAAACCTTGATGATGGGACTTTTCAGTAAGTTAAATACAAATTTTCTATTTTTCCCTCCACAGTCAAGGGCTGGAAATCCATTGGCCAATGAGAAGTTAAAAGCAGTATGCATTCAGGAAGGGGGAGACACATAGTTCAGTTGGTAGGCAGACTGGCTATGGACTGGAAGGAACTGGGTTAAAGAAAGTGAAGCACTGCCTCATTGGCCTGTAAATAGGACACCTTTACCTGTATGCCTTCAGGAAGGATCAAACAGAACTACACACATTTTAAAACCCTTCTCCACTATTATACAACATGAAGCATCCTTCTACTCAAAACAGTGTTTTGATGCCTAAATATCAAAACTAAAGCTTTGGAAAGGTAACCTTTTTTAGCTCAGCAGGTTCCTATCCTCCTAGATAGTGGGCTATAAAATTGCTTGCTGGAGTGAATTTTAGGTTTCATAGAAGCATATCAGTCACCACAATATAGCATATTTTAATGTTGTTCTGGTAGGGAATTAACAGAGAACTAAATTTTTGTTTGATGGATGTATACCTGGAGGTGCTATGAAGATCCAGAACATGTCTGTGGAGTAAGATAGTTTTGGACATCTCACTAAGAGCAGCAAGATATTTGAGGTTTGTAAAAAACTAGCTCCAGGAAAAAAGACCAGTTGGGACCAAAGAAACACTTTATAGTCTGAGTAACAGTCCTGGATATTCCACAGGGAATGGGCTCAAATTCTGGCATCTCCCAGGTGGAAGCAATGGTCATCAGAAAGACCACCTTGCTGCACGGGAAGAATTGCATACTTTTTGAGCAATGCAAAAGGTTGCAGAGTTCAGGCATTCAAGACCAAACCAATATTCTATGGCAGTTCTCCATGAATCTTAAGAGCATGAAGTAAATATGCAGTTGTGAAGTAAGGCCTGACATCCAAGCATAAATAGACCATACTTTCTTCTATGCAGGTAGAGATAAAGAAAGATAGGGAAACCACTTAACAGTTTCACACTGAAACTCAAAATCCTGGTACTTCCTCATTTTAATAATCCCAGAATTTGTATGTAGATGGTGACGTATCCTTCTCTAAATATCAGTCCACATGAAGCCCTTTGTGCGTTAGCCCAGAATCTTTCTGGCCAGCAGTCTCTGCTGTACACATGCATCCTGTAACCCCCTCAGAGCAAGGGAACAGCTAGCTGTCACTCCTGTGGCACCAAGTCAGAGCCTACCCACTCTCTTAATCTTCCTGACTCATTGCATAATTTAGGCTGGTTGTCAATTACTCTTAGTGCAAATCAGACAGATTTGATAGATTTTATTTTAAGAAACTGTCTGAGTCCCACCTTGATAGAGATGAGTACATCTTATGCCCAAGATTAGGTCTCTGGGCCTTAAATCTGCTGTCTGAGATAACACTGTGCCTGCTAATGATGGAAATAGGAAAACGTATGTTTTACTTGAAAAAACTGTTTATAGCAAGAATGCTGTTCACGATTGTTTCTTTAACACACACACACACACACACACACACACACACACACACTGCTTGTGATGCTAGTCTAAAATTATTCTTGATGGAAAAATCTGCGCAGAGTGCATTTGACTAAGGTATTCCCTTAGGAGCAGCTCTTTTCTACTTTGAAGTTGGTTTCAACAAGTGCTCTGCATATAAGATATGCAGATTTACTGGCCTTAAGAGAACTCCTGCTGTTACCAACACTTGAGTTTGCTGATTATCCTCCTCTGGTCAGTCGGTGGCTCCTCCTGCCTGAGGGAGAAAGAAGAAAGCTCTCTAGCTGGGCACACACTACTGAGTCCCATCTTGACCCAGAAGAAGGGGAAAAAAAAAACACCTCGGGCTAACCTACTTGAAAGTGATCTATGTCTGGGGCATTGTATTTCTTAGCTTTGATAAAGCATTTTACATCGTTGATGGCCAGCATTGCTTCTGTTTGTTACCACTGCCATTGTTACTGTACACCTCAGATTCAGAGATGTCAAAGTGATAAGACTTCTTCTGACACTGTACCTGTGGTATCAGTGGGTAATTCCCAAAGGTTGTTCTCTAACAGTGGCAGAAACGTGCCACAAAAAAATGATACTGCATCAGTACCAGATCCAACCCGCAGTGCTCCCCAGAGGTCTAGAAATGTGGATAATAGGGGAGTGGTGGCGATTAAAACTGCCACTGCTCCCCTGCTACCAAATTTCCAAGCTCCATGTGGCAGAATCAGGGTCAGGCTCCAGCTGTGCCAGCCTCATGTGGTAATATCAGACCCATGGCCTGGATCTGGCCTGTGGATCAACTCAGCACTGCTCATCCAGCCCATGAGGCCGAAAGGTTGGGCATACTGCACTGTCTTACATATATATTGTACCTTCTTGGGTAAAAAGGTTCAATGTGCTTCTAATTTTAATCTAGAAAAAAAAGTGCGCCCTAGGTATCAGAAGCCTGGGAAAAACTGGTTTAAGTACCCTGGCAGTGGGTGGTACCACCTCTTTTGTTAGCTAACGTTGCATTCACATTCACATGCAACTCATGAACTGGAATTGGAGTTGCCATTTTGTATTGTATTCAGAGCTGACACCATAGCCTAGAGTACTGTAGATTAAAAAAACCAACTTTCTCCACCCAGTCTCAGGAGTATTAGGAGCTCAGTCATGGGTCAAGATCTGAGGGTCTTCCTCTTTCCATGCCTCAAGGATCAGTTCCTCTGCGATAGGAATTCTATTCCTCTGTATCCTTCTCTCTGTTGGAAGTGGCATCCCTTTTTCTAGGCATCCTCACCCAAGCTAGTTCTTGGGAGAGAATAAGAGTCTGTGTTTCTCTCAATGCACCCTGGCACTCAGAGGGAAGAATGAATGGGATCATGATAATCATAGGAGAGGCACTCCAGCAAGAAATGCTAGCCTATAGGAAATAATGGGGGCATTTGTTCTCCAAACTACAGCTCCCATGAGACAGGGCTCCACAGCAGGGAAATTTGTTCAACTGAGTTTACTGTTTACCTACTGTAAGCCTCCTGAGTAAACTATCTTTGAATGTTCCTTTTCTCCTCTGCTCTGAAGAGTATAAACGTTACCATGCAGAAATCATAACCTTACATGTATGAATACTGAACTTGTGTGGCTGCTCATCTACTCTGCAAAGAATTTTACCCTCCTTCAGGGCCCCAAACCATTCAAGCTCTGGTGAACTCTTACTGCTACTGTGTATTACAGAAAGAGACAAGAAGGAAAGAAATCATTCCTGTTGTCAGAAAGCAACATCTCTCTCTAATTGGTGCATCCTACATCAGATCAACCTAATAATAGCCCTCTGTTTTCCAAGTTCCCAACATATTTGGTGAACCACTGGATAATGCTCAGTTATGCCCAGATGACTATCTTTCCACCAGAGGCTTTTTAAAAAATAAATTGTAGACTTTTTATAGCTTTTGGTATTAAATTCTTATGGTCAGACTGTTTCCTCTCAGGGACTTTCTAAATGGTTTATGGACTGTATTAAGATTTCCTACTCTTTCAGCAGATTTACCAATCTCCTGCTGAGAAACGGCACATTCTGCAGAGGTACAGGAGACATCTGTGGCTTACTTTAGAGATGTTCCTCTGTTTGAAACCTACAGAGCAAGAATTTCAAGTTCAGTTTATACATTTACCAATCATAGTGACAATTTCTAGGTCAGGTGCCCAATTTGCCAGGATTATTCTAGAGATGTTGTCTAGAGATTGTAATCACCCTTCTGCTTAAGAAGTAGCAGCTACCCACTCACTTAATATAGATTCTATACAAATACTTGGAGAAAAGGGGTGACTTAACTTATTTGTACAGACATGTTCATTCTCATTGATTGCCCAACTCTCTCCTTCCCTTGAAGTCTTTACATAGATCTTTATGTTAGGAGGGAAGAATCCTCTCTTTTCTCATGTCACTGTTTGAAATAAATCCTTCCTATTCAAAAGGTGGTAGAAGCTTTGCTGAATACATGCTCTCTGAATGCCCTCCCCCCCCATACAATACCACTGGAAAGCTTGGCAGTTAGCTTTAATTCTGTGGCTCTGGATGTCAAATCAGTCTCTGGGAGGAAAGACCCTGCCTTAACAGGGAGGAAAGTGGGTTGGACTGAGTGATGCTAAGGATATGTTTGGTCTCCTTGGCCAATACAGAGCCATTGCTATTACTAATGCCCTTTCTGTCCTGATCTCCTGGATGGTTTCAGGTAGCAGGAAGAATGATGCACAGAAGGCCTACTGACCATCTCTGAGAGCCCTTGATTTCTTTTTTTACGGGAAGGAGAGGAGAGGACTTGTACTTCATGACTGATGCATGTTGATGTATTAAGCCCTATGCATAGGTATCATCCTTAAGGGAAAAAAAACCCCACTATTATGCCAGACCTACATTCATGTTATTGAATCCAAGGATACAACACTTCTCAATGAAGGCTGGCAATGAGAAAAAGATAAAACTAAATCTTGCAGGGGAGGCAATACTCTGGGATTAAGCACTGAAGGAGAAATAACATTGCAAGAGATCTAGAAACACAGTGGCATGAGATAGTTGCCAGGAAATCCCATGGCGAGGTTATTTATGCCTGGTCCTGGATGACTTCTCTTAAATCACCTTTTTTATTCCTCTTTAGCCTTCTCCTACCACAGGTGCTTCTGAGGGAGAAAGGGCCCTGAGGGAGAAAGGAGGGGTGGGCCAAAACAGCCTGTTCTTTCCCCAAATCTTCCAGGTTGAGCATCACAAGGAATAGTGAAAGGAAACATCAGTGGCATCTCAGCAGTAGAGAGAAGCTAGATTCAAATTCCCAGTGCATGGGAAGATCAAACATTGCTACAGAAAGCTAATTTACATCCCCAGGTTTTGAATATGTGTTTTGCAGCAAAAGGTCTGGTAAAACTTGAAGTGTGGAAGCACAAAAAAAGGTAATGGGTTGCTGAGCACAGTTGGCTATGTAGTTACATTTAAGCTTGGAGGCCACTCATAAACAGATATATAAGAGAACCGTCAACATTGCCATGAATCTACCAGGCAAAGAGCGAAGCTATAGGTACTGGAATCATTTAGTATCTGGTTATGAAGCGACCATAAATATTGAGACGTGGTCCACTTCAACGATCAAAGAGCACTATTAAATAGTCTTTGTTTCAGAGGGCTCAAGAGGTTTACATTATTGTTGAAAATTAAAAATTATGTTAGTTTTATTAATTCAAGCTATAGATACCTCTGGGCAGAAAATCTCTATTTAACTTTTAAATCTGGCTGCAACTGAAGGGGTTCTCTTAGAAATCTACATTACTCTGCCAATGTATGCTACATGAAATTTTTCTGCCATTATATTATTCAGTCAGATTTCTCCTTGTATTCCATTTGTTTCCTATTAATTAACAGAGACACTGTACAGAAAAACAAGATCTCCCTCTCTGTGCACTGGACATACATTCAAGGGCATTCTTTCTCTGAAGTAGTAACTACTTCTGTCCTCCTCTGAAATAGTTACAAGCAAGCAGTCAAATGCTGAGTTTTCAATCTAGCTCTCTTACAGTCTGGACTGAGAAACAAAACATTTCAAACACCTTTGAAATGTTCTAAAAGCAACTGAAAAACACTTCAGAATAGCACCTCTTGAAAAGATACACTGTTTTGGAGCATTTCATTTTGTTACATCTGGACAGGGGCAGAGGACCCATAAGTCCTCCAGAATCCCAAAGTACTCTTTTCTCCATGGGGGAGGGATTGCTAGGTGGACAACTGACAGGCTGAAGGACAATCTACTTCTTGTCCAGCCATCACACCCTGCTCCTCAGGCCCCTTGATAGTGCCAAGCACTCTAGCCCCAGTTGCCTCTGCTGGAAGGAAAGGGGGTGGGGAAAGGAGATGTTCTGGGGATTTGGCGCTGGATGCCACACGGCATGCAGACACACAGCTGCATGCAGCCACAGCAATGCTGAACTGTTCCATCCGAGGTTGGGACAGGGGCTGCACATGTGTCCCCAGCTAGAAAGTTTCCTCTTCACTAGTGCATTTCACTTGTTACCTCTGTCCACACCCACAAAAATTACCACTTGATTTGCAGCACTTGGTGTTCTAATTTTACTTTTTCAAGTGCTATGGTCCACCAATCCTCTAAAAAAGCATAGGACATAGGCATTTTCAAACAGCTAAAGTATTAATCATTCCTAAGACTGTTCCTATTAAAGAAAAAAGAATTCCCTCCCCCCAACTTCAGATAGTTGTGGATTTAGTAGTTCTGTCACTGGGTTAGCAGGCTTAGCTATCATTTTCTCACTTTCAGATGCCAAATGAAACTAACAATTTCCAGAGGTATTGGAATGGCACCAATAAAAAGAAAATGAACATTATCGGTGATCAGCTTTTTTTGGCCAGTGTAGCTGATAATGTCACCAATAAATATAATATGCCTTCTGGCCAGGGCCCCTGGATGCTGTGTGTGCATGCATGCATGTGGCCAGGAATACAGCTGAGAAGCATGGAGAGCAGCAACTTGCAGGTAAATTTGTGCAGGGGAAGAGGCATGAGGGAGGGAAGAGGCATGGGTGGGGGAGGGCACACAGATCAAAGACCCCACAGTGAGGGAAGGCGTGGTAGGGGCAGCAGCTGGGGTTGGGGTTGCTCCCCAGCCCAGGTGGTGAATGGGACCTGGGGCTGGGGCAGGGAGCAGAATGGAGCCACAGGCAGCTTGTTCAGGGGGTGCAGGAGTTGGGTGGGGAGGCTCCCCACTGCTGCGTGCACCTCCTGGGGAAAGCATGGGGGGCACATGCCCCCACAGATGTGTGCGCGGGACAGATGCAGGCTTCCCACTGAGGGCTTGGGACTCCCCACCTTTCTGCCTTTCTCTCCAGAGCCCTACACTGGCTGCATGTCCCCTGCCTTCCTGGCAGTAGTGGGGGTGGCAAGTTGTGCCTCTCATGGCTGGACAGGCAGGGGACAGGTGGCTGACACGGAGCTCCTGGGGCAAAGACAGAAGAGAGAAGAGCCCTGAGCCCACAGTGAGCAACCCACATTCACCATTACCCCCCACTTGGCTCTGCTCTGGTTAAAAGCACCCCCTTGCTTTAAAATGGTGGCAGCAGCACACATTTGATGAGCTTTAGTTCAAGTGGCACCACCACCATTTTTAAATGCCAGGACGCTGATCCCCTGGACAACCTGCTCACGGCTGTCCTGCTCCCTGCCCTGGCCCTGGTCCCATTCACTGCCCTGGCTGGGCAGCATCCCCAGCCCCAGCCGCTACCCCACTCCCTTCCTCACCGTGAAGACCTCAATCTGCTCCCCCATCCCCCCCCCCTGTCCCTTCCCTCCCCAACACCCCTTCCCCTTCAGAGAGTTACGTGTAGGGCACTGCCCTCCACACTGCCCAGCTGCATTCCTGTAAATTGGTTATCGGATTGGTATCAGCTGAAATGGCTGGGTAATAATTGGCTATTGTTATCAGCCATAAAAAAGTCTTTACTGGTGCACTCCAACAATTTCCATAAGTGCTTATGCCTGGTAGGCACACAGAGGTTTTCCTTCAAGTGAGGCAGAATTTCCCTATATGTACCCTATATGTACCAACAAGTTCCTTACAAGTCAGTGGTATTATAAAGAACTTGCTCCACAAACATGTATGGAAATGTGAGGCCAGAGTCAAAAGTTCTTGGTACTCTATAGTTTAGGTCATTCGCAGCGGGAGCTGTGGGACACTGAATATTTTTGAAAATCTGACCACAGGTGCCCATAAAAATAGCTCACAATGATGAGCATCTGTTCATAAAAGAAGAGTATGACTGAAATGCAATAAAACCAGAATGAGTGACAATCCCTGTATAGCTTGATTTCTTTTTTTT